CAATCGCTGTTCACGAGTTGGCGTGCATAGTATAACAAATTAAACGTCTTAGTATAAATATGTACCAACACTCGTTAGCAAAACATTTTTTTTACTGACCATAAAAACACTTGCAAGGCTTATCCGCCGAATTCAGAAACCTCACTCAAACTACACTCAAACTGAAGGGCCCCTCTACTTCCTCGGGGAAGGCGCGAGGGCCGGCGCTGGCCAATCGCGACGGCGGATCCGCCGTCGCGATTGGCCAGCACCGGCCCTCGCGCCTTCCTCGAGGAAGTGGAGGGGCCCTTCAGTTTGAGTGTAGTTTGAGTGAGGTTTCTGAATTCGGCGGTTATGTACCGTCATATGTCTTGGATCCCGGACTGCTGAAGAGTGATGCGTTCGCGGAATGCTGCCGTCGGTTAGTTTAGTAGTCCCTCTGAACTATCACTTTGCTTGACGTGCTAATAGGTTGATGGTGAGTCATTAATAAAACAGCCAGATCGAAATGAATGTTCAGCAGAACCAAGCAGAACTATTAGGCCTCATTAAGCGACGCCGCGGCCATTTTGCTTCTAGGTACTGCTCCTCCCTCGGCGCCCCTGCTCTCCCAGTCACGTGACCTGGAATTCTCCCTTCTAGGGACAATAGTTAACTTTAAACCACGGTTCGCGTTCGAGAAAACGGGCCCTGGTGGTCCAAATTAATTCTCAGCCCTCCGCTGGGGCGTGCCAGATGCCCGCCGTTGGTATGGCACGTAAAACCCCAAGTTTGACCGACCCCCCCCCCCCCCCCCCCCCCCCCGCCCCCCAGACTGTGTGAAGATATAACAAGAATGCTCACATTACAAAAATAAACGAGAAAAAAAATTTAACGGCCCTTTCGATGTACTCGAAATTACACAAGATATCAGCGAAATGAAAGATGGTAAAGCTCCCGGACCGGATGGTTTCTCTGCAAGCTTTTACAAGTGGGAAGAAAAACGGGCCCCTATTCTTGAGACACGTTTTCGAAGAATCTTCTACCGAGGGTACACTGCTACTGTCGTTTCGCGAGACTCACAGAATACTCATTCGCAATTCAAGAGACCCGGAAAAGTTACAATAAACTGGAGGTTACAGACCGCTTAGCCTCCTCAGCTGCGATTACAAAATAGAAGAACTTGTAATTGGGCTAGTTGGTGAACGTTATAAAGCATGGCGCAACAAAACAACGGACACAAGGAAGCGCAAGGAAGAATACACAGGCGACACTCACAAATAAATTTGAAAAGTAAGAAAAAAAAAAGATATACGTCATCTTTATCGCGTCCAGGCATGCGCTTGGCCGGGGGATACACGCTTTATATCTCATTCGCAAAAACTCGTAGAAAAATCTTATCACAGCATCATACGGTGCGATAGATGCGTCACTCGCGTATTGTGTGCCCCTCTTTCTGATAATATACCCTTCCGATAACTCGTGCGCTTTCTGGCTCTTGCTTTTATCCAGGTCCCACTTGCTGCATTGTCCAGGCAGATGGCACCTCTCACCCGTCTTTAAATTGTGCGAGTGCTTCCTTAGTCGGCCGTTCGCACATCTTCCCGTTTGTCCTACGCAGGACACGCGTAACGGGGATTTTGTATGCCATCCCCTCGGCGCAGCCAGCATATACGACCTGGCGTGCTTCGAGGTGCAGCCTCGCACCTTACCGCTGTCACCGGTAATGCGGGACTCCAAACGGTACCAGCTCGGGACGCCTCATTGTGCTGAGTGCCATTTGCATCCTTGCCATATTGGTATGTCGTTTTACTCTCTGAAGGATGCCTCGTACCACATCGACCGTTTCAGGGTAGTCCGCTGACAAAAGTCTGGTCACTTGGTTCTTAGAGTTTGTCTGCATCCGGTGTGCGCACGACTTCCTGAGAGCCGACTCTAGGCTTAGCGTGGCGTTTCCTCTTTTAATTACATTAGAATTAGAAGAATCAAAAGGCTGGAGTTCCTTTTCGGGACGATGTCCTTCTAAAACCTTAAAACTTGCGTCTAAAAACCGCAGACTACCCTGCTTAAGCAGTTTCATGGGGGAAAGTTCATTCTTTTGAATATGTATAAAAACCTTACAATCGTTCATTAAAAAAAAAAAAAAAAAGTTACCTTTGTATTTAAAGACTTTAAAAAACATGACTAAGTCTTTTCAAGCGTGCAATCTATTGTTGTAAAAAATATGTTACATAGTACGGGGGCCACGCACGACTCGATGCAGATGCCTCTTTTTTTGTAAGCAAAGCTCGTTGGCAAACGAAATCCTTTTCCTTTGACAACCAGCTTTTCTTAAAAGAGGCATCTGCAATGGGTAGGTTTTGATGCGAGTTTTATGGAAAGGAGAGAAAAGTAATGTATCCTAGTAATACCAGCACTGATGTATGCGGTCGATAGAGTGCTCCTAGCAAATAACCGGGATATGTAGACAGGGAGGGGATGACCTAATTTTAGTAGCGACAACTGTGGTGTAATAGCAACGAGAAAAGGGAACCCCCAAAGTAGGGGACATTGAAATAGACCGTGTAGAACAAGTATTTCGGTTAGTATACACTTGTCCAGTTTGTAATATATGCCGATGACACGAGCGTTTTTGTTTCGGGCATAGACGCTGAAACCTAAATTACTAAATACTCGTTGAATTTGGTAAACAGCCTTGAAATGAACGTAAACAAAACCAGAGCAGTGACTGAAAGAAGTTTGAGGGCGCAGGTGAATACTAGGCAGCATGATTGTGTTGCCCGAAGCAGTCATATTTGGATCATTAAGTAAATGTATGCCTTTTGTTACTAAATGTCCTATTCTAGATACTGCGCAAACTGACATAGGGAGCACACAACACTGGGTATAACTTTCTCTGAACATATCTCGTGGGATTCCCATGTCAATAATTTGGTCAGCCAGTTATGTAGAGCTGTAGGCGCCATAGGATGCCGTTCGACATTACCTGTTCACATCAAACCCCCTATTTATCGAGCACCTTTCCAGCCTCACATAAATTAGTGTCAGCTTGTGTGCGGTACAACTTCGAATGAGTCTTATTTTAAAGATAGATGCGGCGTATTAGTGACTATGTACAGAACCTGTGTTACACTCGGCCACTATTCGAAAAATTCACAATTATTACCATTCCAAGTATGTACGAGTATAGTCTTACGCATTCCGCTTCGGAAGAGCCGTATTCATCGAGTTTCTCCGGTGCACATTAAAGCTTAATAAAAAGAAATCTCCATTAGTACATGCCACTCTGAAGTATGGTGTGTTTCCCATTTCCGCACAAACAGCGCTCTGCAATCACTGCATCATACGTCGCTGTCACTACTAAATAGATATCTAGAAAAAAAAATATACATATTCCATGACCAAAGCTGAGTATGTTTTAAACGGACGTTCCGCGAGTGGTGCGTTGTACGTTTCTGGTTTTCATTTTGTACACGGTGTACACTTTTCTGGTACACTTTGTACACTTTTTCACTTTGTTGCACTTGACTGTTTTTTAGGTGCACACCCAGGTTGGCAGGCAGAAGTCTATAATTATTGTATAACAAACGTTGCAAATGTTTTTGTTTTTTTCTATTTCCTACTCTTACTTTATTATTTCTGCCAAATTGTCGTGCTCGTTTAGCATTAAGGCTCTTACCCAGTCAAGTTACCTCATGGTAGCTTTCTGTCTGGAGGCCCACCAGAGTAATTTTCTGGTTTCATTCGTTTCATTTCAAAAATATAATTATAGAAATTCAGCTATTAAGAAATTAAATGCATTGTGGAAATGTAACGTGGACAAAGTGGTTACAAGTATATTGATGATGGTATCACGACTATCTTTTGGTAATGGAGTAATGTGAATGATGTCGGAGGCAATCAGGTTTAGGAAGAGCGTGGGCAAACTGCGAGTGAATGGGAACACACCGAATGAGGGAGAAGTGGGTAGGTCGACTCTTGACATCAGAATGGCCATTAGTTAATGGAATTTTTAACAAAGGTTAACTGATATGGACGATACGAGTTTCTCTATATGAAGGGTTTAAAGACCAAATGCACCCAACCAAACCCAAAAGCTGGAATATAGATACCAACACACTAGTGACGGGGCTGAGCAGACTACTTTAGTGTGAAAGAAGTGTGGAGGGAAGAATGCAGGGAAACAAGTTTTTGTAACCTAGAGCTAATAAATACAGGTGGTGTTTGGGGCAGCTTTTCACTGTTGACGCTGTACCCAGACCACAGAGGCGAGATTTGGATGAGGTAAAGCGCATTGGCCGGGCCAACAGCAGCGCCACTGCAGCGGTGCAACGTTGGTGCATACTCTGTCTCGCCGTAACATGGCAAAGGGCCCCAGTGAGCCAATCGGCACGTCAGAGGGAGATATATATTTATATCACTAGTTCAGCAGGTGGGAGTCACTCAAAATTCCCACTTTGTGCGAATCTCAAGCAACTCTGAGGGGGACAAAAGCGATGTCTGGGGACACGCAAAAGAAGAGAGTTCCGCCTTCCCCAGCTGCTACGCTCTCGCGCCTTTGGTGAGGCCAGTCACATGTTTGGCATCTATTGCTGCAATTGGCTCCGGAGGGCTGTAGCACTTGCCAAGTTACGGTGAAACTACGTACAGAGCAGCGAGTGTCAAGAACTAAGACATATAAGGCCGAATTTGAATAAACAAACAGATTGCCAAAGTAAGAGCAAAGGGACTTCGGAACAGGGGAGGCCGGGGGTTACGTTTGCCACCCCAGACGTGTGATGTAAGCAGTACGAGGAATGGAACTGAAAAATCTCATCCACTCCACTCCCTCCCCAAAGAGTTCCGCCGCCCAAATTCAAGAGTAGACAATGCAACATGCGTTTCTGAAATGCACAGTTTGGCGGGCCACTGCCCCGGGTGCCGCTGACCCTAGTGACGCAACTGTGAGGAAATATTGTATGTGTGTACTCTCAATTCCTACCACTTCTGCCACGGCCCCAATAGACGCCGTAGCGAGCAATCGTTACCTGCTGTATGCACACTTTCGTCGATTGAGATGACCTTTATTGGTCTTAATTTTACGCAGTCTTCACAACAGCCCGCACAATGAGACAATCCTAATGAAAAATTGGCATCTTCCTGCAATTGTGCGCTTTCATTGAGAGGAATTGGTGCGGAGGGAGACTCCAGGCTGCGCTTCAGTCAAGGCTTTACTGGCTCGGAAAGCAGCACCTGCGGGCGTGCTCGAGCAAAGAAAGCTGGTCTCGAGCAGGAATCCCGCGAGAAGCTGGGCTACGGAGCTTCACACACAGCGCGCAACGTTGTCAGGACTAGTGGCGCGCACCACAGTCCAGCTCCTCGATGCTAGCCCGACGCAACGTCCGAAGATCCCCGGCGGAGCCACTGCAGGCCATCGTTTCTCGCGGGGCTGTGGTCCAGCTCGTCGATGCGCGAGGGCGGCCGTCACTTGACCACGTCCGCGAGGATGTCGGCGGGTAGCGCCAGGATAGGGCCTCCGTCGTCGGACAGCGCCGAGTCGGTCGACTCTCCGGGGTCGCCGAACTGGTTGAGGCCGAACAGGGAACCCGGCTGGACCACATCCAGCCCCAGCGCCGCGATGTCGTCCATGGACTGGAACTGGTCCATGTCCGGCAAGTCCGGCAGGGGCTCGGAGAAGGTGGGCAGCGCGGGCATGGGCGCCGTGTGCAGCAGGCAGCTGTCCCCAGGACCGCGCACGCGCAGGAAGGCGGCCGAACAGTCCGGGCAGCTCTCGTACAGCTGCTGCCGGCGGTCGTGCAGGATGTGCTGGCGGCACAGCTTGGCCAGCGGCAGCGCTGCTCGGGCGCAGGCCGGGTGCGCGCACAGCTTGCGGCTGGGCGGCCCGTCGGCCCGCTGCCTGGCCTTCAGGCGGCTCCGCAGCACGGCTTCGGCGCCGTGGCAGCGGTGGTAGCGGTAGTAGGCCCTGTAGCGGCGGTACTGGGCCTCGTCCTGCGGAGACGCCAGGTCCCGGCCGGGCCCGCCGCGCTCGCGCATGTACTCCCGCCGCCTGTCCGCCAGCACGTGGCGCAGCCTCCGGAACTGGCCCAGGTAGAGCGACTGGAGGCGCACCAGCTTGTCGCGCGTGATGCTGGCCGCCTCTTCGACCGTGAAGGCGCCGGCGTGGCGCAGCGGGTCCTCGGCCTCGGTGTCCACGCTGTCCGCATCGCTGTCGCCCGCGAATTGGCGGTCGTCGGCGAGCGTGTCGTCGTCGCTCTCCACGTCGTAGAATTTGACCGTGTTGCGCGCCGTGTCCGACTGATCGACCGAGTGCTGGGGGTCCCGGCAGTAGTGCTCCAGCGCCTCGATCACTTTCTGCGGCGTCTCGACCAGGTGCTGCTTTTTGCTGGACGAGCGCCGGTGCTGCAGCGCCTTGCGCGCGTGGAACTGGCACAGGGACTCGCGCTTGTCCGTCTTCGGGGCCGCGTACGCGCAGCGCCGGCCGCTCTGGGCGTGCGTGTACGCGCACTGGCGAAACGGCGCAGTCTTGTCCTCCAGGATGTGCCGCGTGCAGTACTCGTAGCCCTCGACGCGTCCCTGCAGGCACACCCGGTGCATGTAGTTGCACAGCCGACGCTCGGGCACCCGCGACGCCGCCGGCCGCCGGTTCACCATCACGCGCTTGATCATGCTCATGGCGACGCCGCCGTCCACGACACTCGTGCCAGAGTCCAGACACACCGCCCAGACGCGACCGAGAGCACACGACCAGGCACACCGCTCACCGAAGCAAGATAACACGCCAAGATGGCGCCGGAGGAATGTAACCTTCGTTGCCTTCCCAGCTTCACCGCGCACGCCAAAAAACAAACATGAGCGAGCAGTAGAGAGCCTTGATTGTACAGAGGGTCGAACTAAAACCATGGGGAGCGTTTGTAATTTAATGGCGGATGCCTCCCGCAGCGATTGGTCGCAAGTGGGTATGCGCTGCGTTTTAGAGTGGCGAGAAGTAAAGCAGGCAGACACGATCAACGTGTTCGTCCGGTTCTTCACCCCTTCGCTGCCTTCGCGGCTGGGACTGCAAACGTCGCTCATAAACCACGTGACCCTGATGAAGCAGCTGCACACACTCTGCATTACAAGCTCTCTGGCGAGCAGCTGGGATTGTGGCGGCCTCTCTCGGGAACACTACGAGTTAGGTGCTCGCCGTACTCCATGGTTGCCAGACAGCTATATATTTGCCGTCGTTCGAGTTCGGCGAGGCTGTGGAACTGTGATGGCGAAACCTGTGGCGAGCAATGCAGGTTTCTTCAATACACCGCGCGATCGAAATACAAGTTACTTGTACCAGTCAGATACATTTTTTATCAGTTTTGGATTTTCTTCTTTGATTATACCTTTTTCTTTTTTTTTGCGGTTTTATAATAATAATAGAGTGGTTTCATTTGTGATCGAATACGCCTGTCAGGGTGGGTATGTTGATTTGCCTCATAAATAATATATTACACAACCATTTCCGCCATGAACACAACCGCTCTAAAATTTTGTAGAAAAATGATCTTCCTCCACAAAAATGTTACTGTGAAGCAAGGCGAAATGCTACATTTAGGCTGTTTGATTTTTGTACCCACTTTTGTTGTTTTGAAAAGGTAAAACGAAAACACTCGCACAATTTTTTCTTGTAAATGTATAACGCATGGCCTGTATGTTTCCTTTAAATTAAACTGGTGTGGCATATTTGATGCCAGAAAACAGATAGTCAAACACCGCACCTTTGACGTTCTGGTGACATATTTGGAGTCTCGTATTTTAGAACGCATAATGCATCTTAGTATGCACCTGTTGGCCCATGCATGTCCTATCGATTGGTACCAATTTAGTGTAATTTATTCTCGCGAAACAGTTTATACGAATATTTTTTTTTTTTAAATTTCGTAAGAAAACAAATTAGCGATAATTTGAACCCGCTTAATTAAAAATTTATTTTTAAAAATTGCTTCGTTATTTTTTTTAATGTTTTCAATAATGTAAACATTCTGCGGGCATACTCCAACGTCCCCCTTTTTTGTTGTATTTTCTATAGAAGTGTTGAAACACAGACGCATGTGCCTGACTCGGTGAAAGGGTAGCTTCCAAAGAGCCTTACTGCAAGGCCTTTCAAAGGGCAGGGGTTGGAAGTGTTTGGCAGGTGAAGGGTCGACGGAAAGTGACGGCGGAGAAGGGTGAGGGCACAGAGTGTGTCACGTGGCCGCTTTAGGCAAACTTTTCTTCACTCACAACCAGTTGCGTCACAAGGAGGGGGGGGAGGGGGGGAATGTCGCGCAGGGCCACAAGCCGGGGGGAGGGGGGTGTGGGGGGGGGGGGGGGGGGGGGGGGGGAGGGCGTTGCGGTCCACCGCCCGGGTGCCGCTAACCCTAGTGACGCCACTGCTCACAACTCCGCTGTTCCAAGGCCACAAGCTACGCATGTTTCCCTTTTTTTTTTATCTGGAAAAGGGGGGGGGGGGGGGGGGCGAGATTGGGTGGGAGGATATTTTAGTGGGGAGACTTGAGTCAGGCTGCGTATTTTTGTTTATATCATTGAGCATATGCAATATCTTTCATCCCGTGACGAGATCTGCAACCGGCAGACTTTGTGTTGCATTATCATTCCAGTCCTCCGCTCGAGCTTTGTATATTCCAAGTTGCCTGTGTCCAGTTTTATCAATGGCAGTCGTTCCTAGAGTGGATCGAGTCTTCTTGCGATGGTCGGCGTAAAAAGAGCATACGATCGAAATGAACGTTTTCGCTCTGGGAAAAAGCAGCTCGACGTGGATCTGCCCAGGTCGGCCCTTCACTGCGACGAGATTAGAAACGTGCTTTGGTCAGAATTGCTTCGCACGCCTCGAGAAAAGATCTGCCTGCTCAGTTGAGCTCACATGTCTGCCCAAGTTTCCAAGCCTGATATGCACAGGGCGTTGAAGAAAAACTCCCTGGCGGCGGAGATTCCTGTCGGCGTATGACGCAAAATTCACTCAGTCAGAGCCGGAAAAAAGAAAAGGGAAGACAAACGAGTAGTCGCATTCGGTTGAAATGTTTTTAGGAAATTAGATACTGCCTATTAGACAAAACCAAACAGCGGAGACTTGCCAGCTTAGCGCTCCTGCTTCGCGTGTGGTGAGTTGTGGCTCAAAGTGCGTTCAAATTTTGTCAGGTATTTACTCAGTCGGGAGACATGTCAGCTTCAGATACTCACTTCCGTCAGCGCTACGGTAATTCTCGATTAAATGCCCGAAGCATAAAAATATCTTCCGTGGAAATGGACACCAGACTCACTTGGGAGCGTGAAATTTCTGCCATTTTTACCTTACGGGGAAGGTTAGCGCCTATGTTCCGTGTCACTAGTTGCGTGCAGTACAGGCGAAGGCAACGCCAGGCGAGGGGATAAAGGAAACGTTCCTTTCTCTCCTCGCCCTTTCCTCCGCCTTCCTCTCCCTTTCTCTCTTGGCCTGGCGTTGCCTTCGCATGCTCCGCACACAACTAGTCACTCGGAATATAGGCATTGAACTTAGCCACTGCACAAGGACGTTCTTCGTTGTTCTATTTAATTTTCAGACATGAAAGATGCTGTGAAAGTAAATAATGGTTGCAAGAAGAAAGTCAGAATATACGTGATAAGGCCTATTTGGGAGACCTTCTTTATGTATCTGAAAGCAAAAATGGACACTATTTATTTCACTCCGTCTAAGATGAGCGAAGATCAACTCGAAGCATACCGTATGTGCCTAGGTGTGCTGTACCGATTTCTGTCTTTGTTTTTATTTTCGCGCAACGATGCAAAGCAAGAACCGATCTCCCTCAGCCTTTCTCAAAATACTTGACCTCAGCAGATCCATGTTGAGGTGTTTCATAAAACGTTCATTCTGAAGTATTTTTATGTCGGCCATCGTATGGAGACTCTGGCCAATCCGTCAATCATCGTTAAAACTGGACAGAGGTAAGTTCGAAAAAAACTGGAGCAGCTACGGGGCTGGAATGCCAGCGTCAATCTGCCGCTCGTAGATATAATTTTGTACTCCGTTAGGATGGAGTCGGAGCAATCTCCGGGAAAACAAAACAACACGATAACCGAATAATACCAGTCAGTATGAGGGATAAACGATGTTATATGTTAAACTGAGGTAAACAGCAATATGTACCCCGAGTAGAGTGTCCTAACCTAAATAATAATAATAATCGATCAAGAATCAGTTTTATTTGGTGTCCAGGAACGGCCATCCCGCCTTGGTGCTGACACACCCAGAAACTATACAATAAAAAATAAAAACGCACTAGACCCAATACAACATAATGATTGAAACCAAATTACAGTAAAAGAAAAACTCAAAAAACGCGTCTATAATAATAATAAAAATCAATCAATCAACCAATCAATGTTTATTATTATAGTGCCCAGGAACTACCTTTTGGTCTTGGTACTGGCACACTGAATGGAAATGAATACATAAAACACACAAATACAGAAGAGCAATGCTCTATACAGAAACTGAATATAACCATTCACGACATACACTGAGCTGAATGATAACAAAATACAATTTCTAGGTCTTGTTGACAACGAAGAGGAATTGCAGTTCTGTAAAAAGTTTGAGACTCACTCAAAGCGAATACTATATGAAGTAGTAGCACAAGGACAGACCAAACAATGTCTGTGCTCTCCGAAATCAATCTTAAAGTGAACCAGAGTCATTATTCACCCGCCGGACAGGTCTTCAATAGAAATAACAAATGCCCTGTAGCACTATATCCAGTTTCTCAGAGTACTGGGTATAACACTCAGCCAGTCTAATATTTGGGCTTAAGAGACTAAATTTTTTTGGAAATATAAAAGGATGATTAATTCCGAGTAGGCACGCGTGGAACCCTAAGGCACACTTCAGACTAGAGGCTTGGTGAATGAATCGACCCATGCAACGTCTTAAACAAAACAAAAAAAACAACAACAGTAGGTCCGCCTTTTGCCGACGCCGGTGCAGGCTCAGCAAGTCAACACGCTCTAACGTTGCGTCATAAGTTGAACAATGAACATCTTTTATAGGGTAGCAAAAAAGTCAAATTGGACGTTTAGTGATTTATACAGCGTAAGGTTGGTCTGCCAGTAGGGGCGACACTGGTTTACACTGTAGATGAGCAATTTAGCCAGTGCAGTACAACCGCTAGCCTGGGGTCTTTAACGTGCACCACGCAGTAGTGATACACGACCGCACGCCGGTACGATGCTCATCCAGATCGAAACGGGCAGGGGTGGGGCTCGAACCCAGGATCCCTGGGTTCTGCAGCGCGAGCTTTCGCTCCACGCGCGTCGAGCTGGGTGTGCGCTTCAGCCCACTCGGCCACCGATCCCCCTTTATAGGGTAGCGATGTGTAAAGATGGATATAAACTTTTTCTGAACTCGTTCGATTTCCAATGAGTTGGATTTAGAGTTTCCGTTCCACATAACTGAGGCATATTCTAACTGAGGCTTGCACAACTATAGCGGTACAACGTGAGAAACGCAGAAGGATGCTTGAAGTCCCTCGTTAAGCGAGAGGCAACACCCAGCGTGCGCAGAGACGAGTTAACGAGCCTAGTTACGTGACTAGAGAATCGCAGGCTAGGATCGAACAGAACTCCCAGATCTTTCATTGCACATAAGCGGGACAGGGGTTCACCAAGAATACTATAGGCGAAAAATGTATTCTGTGCCTTCCGAGTAAACGTCATAACCTTGGTTTTAGGGCGGTTTAAGAGAATATTATTGGCTGAGCACCATCTAAAAAAAGAACATGCATCTTCCGGAAGCCTAGCGCAATCATCGGAAGTAACTATTTCTTTGTAAATTTTAATGTCATCAGCGTATTGCAGGAACGATGAATTATAAATAGCATCAGAGAAGTCATTTACAGAAATTGTGAGCAGGAGCGGTCCTAGGACGGATCCCTGAGGAACGCCAGAACTTGCCCCGTACAATGAAGAGTTCATATTGTTGACTCGAACGTACGCTTTCCTGTTTGACAAATAGCTCTGAAACCAGACGTGTACTGTGCCACAAACCCCGTAGGCGGAAAGCTTTGACAAAAGGATCCTATGATTAACAACGTCAAATGCCTTGCTTAGGTCAAAGTAGA